GGAGGGCCGCGCGCCCGCGGCGGCCACTCGCCTGCGCGCCTTCCCTGGACTGCGCTGCTATGGCCCCAGCCCGCCTGCTCGCGCTGCTGCTGCTCCTCGTGGGCGCCCCGGCTGCCGCCGCAGAGTCGGTAGGTGCTTGCAGATTTCTGCGGGGGTGGTGGGGAGGCGGACCGGCGCCTCCTTTGTTCCTGGGAGCCTGGAAGAGGGTGGGTGATCAGGGCGCTACGCTGCCCCACAAGGAGACGTCGAGGCCGGGGAAACTTTGTTGGAAACTTGGCTCCGAGGTCACGGGGAGGCCCTGGGGGTGGCTCCTCCACACTCTGTGCGCCCGCAATTTGTTGCTCTTCCCGCCTTCCCCTGGCCTCAGCCCCGCCGCGGGCTCCAGGCTGGGACGTGACTAAGCCGGTGTCACCTTTCCCCCCAGCACACACGCTCTCGCCCCTTCCCTGGTGATCCTGGGACAGGCTCGGAGCCTCGAACTCCCCTTCTCGCCCCCCGAGCGCCCAGAGCAGGCAGCTTTAGCATCCGAGATGCCTAGGTGTGAGAGGGGCTGCAAGTACTCGAAACGGGGAGGAGTCTAGGAGTGTGCGGGGCCTTGTTTCACACACCCGCGGACTGGAGGACTGAGCCCTGACCTCACCTCTGGCCACAGCACTGCCACTGGCTTGTGACTTAGGGCAAGGCCTTGCCCCTGCTGAGTCTCAATTTCTCTGTCTGCACAAAGGGTATTGGACGAGTGGGACGGTAGGTGACCAGTGCTTCTTTAGGGTTCCTACGAAGTTGAGACTACTATTTCCAGGGGGAACGGGAGGGGTGGCTCGGATTCAGCATTTCACCGGGAGTTGAGCCCCTGCTCTATGCAAAAAAGGGTACTTATTTCTGCTCAACGCAGAACGGGAAATCGAAGCACCCACCTGGAATGAAGGGAAGGAGGCTGGGGAGGGAAGGCCGCAGTGCGCCGTGAGAAGGCTTTCCTACTCACAGCCCACTGTTCCCTGTCGTAGTTTACAAAGCCCAGATGCTCCATTCGTCTCAGCAGCCAGCTGGGGAAAAGGGAGGCAGTGTCCTCTGGGAAGTTGGGGGTGCAGGAATTGCTGGGAGAGGCGATCTGTGCCCCCTGCCCCAGGAGCTTTGGCTTTGTGCCGCCTTCCTGCCCTTAAGCCCCTTATTTTGTGAGGACTATTTTGGGGGGAGTGAGTCCCTGTTGTCAGTTCCTGTATGGGGCTCCTATTTCTCTAGGCTTACTTAAGGGAAAGTCGACCCCTGAGCAATAACGCCTCCAGCACGATGCAGGCACGCAGTGATGGGAAATAACACAGGGCTTATGTTGTGCCTGGCAATGTTCTAATAGGTTTCTCACGGCTGTTCTGATGGCTCTACCCACTAACTTAAGCCCTTTTTACTGTTCTTAAACTGGTCCTGAGGCTAGAGAGGCTAAATAACTTGCCCAAGGTTACACAGCTAATGAGGGGCTGAGTCAGAATCAAATTTAGGCAGCCAGACTTCCGAGTCCTGCTCTCATCTTGTCGTCTGATGCGCCTGTGGGTTGGCTGCATTTGTGTCTCATCTTCGAGTAACTTGAGATTCGTTTAGAATCTAAAGATTTTGGGTTAGCCGGCCTCAAGGAATTCTAAGATGGCAAGAAACAGACTCAGAGTGAGGTGATGACTTCCCTAAACTCAGGGCAACCTTGACAAGAGGTTAGTGGCTGAGCCAAGGACTCAACTCAAGCCTGCTGCTGCTCCCTGGGGCAGTGCTCTAAACTAGGCCCTGAAGGATGGGTTGCAGTCCAGCAGTTGTGGGGGTCATCCAAAGGCATGTCATGTTGGTTCCTGTTTGCCTCGGCAGTGTGGGAAGAAGGGGAGAGACCCCACAGGTTTTGAGGTCACTGCATCATGGGCGATCACGTGCCAGTCTCAGCTCAGTGCTTCAGAGTGAGGAACAGACAGCTGTGTCCCAAGAGCAATCAGAAGGATGTGGTTTGGAGGAGGGCTGTCAGTCCTGCGTATGGTGACCGATCAGCTGGGGGAGAAGTCAGGCCTGAGCAGCTGCTTCCTGAGAGGGATGTCCTTCTCTCTAATCCTGACCTCAGCACTCCCATTCTTGGCCAATGTCACAAACCTTCCACCTCTCATTGGGTCACAGGGCTTCCCCTTTTGAGCCTACCACCCCCTTTCCTCCCAGGGTTGTGGCCGGAAAAATCAGACCTTATCATAGTTGGATTAGACCGTGGAGGTGATGGAGAAAATGAGGCCCAAGGAGAAGGTTTTTGCTAATAGCAGTTAGGATTTACTGCGTGCTTCCTTATGCCAGGTCGGGTCTTTGGAAAACACTCCACGAAAAGCCTGTGGGGATTGTATTATGCTTGTTTTACAGATGAAGGAATGAGAGGTAAAATAGGTTCCACTTGGGGTAGCTGAGAGCATCCAGGCCATCAGAATCTCTGTCCAGTCTCCCTCCAATAATGCTGTTGGGGTTCCTCCCCAAATTTTAAGTTTAAGCCGAAGGCCTGCCCTCCTCTTGGGGGGTGCCCCTCACTCCCTAGGTGCCACAAGTTTCGGGAAGAGAATCTAGGCTGAGCACCCAGCCTCTTCTTCATTTGGCGGGGCTTGCCATCCTAAACCAGTTCTTCCTGTCCAGCTGGGAGTATTCCCTGAACTGCTTTCCTGCCACTCCCTCCCTGGCCAATTAAAGGCAGCCTTGTTTTGGGAGCTGAGAACCCCCGCTCCCCGCCCAGAGGTGTTGCTGCCCAGGACACAGCCCACCTATGTGGCACGAGGCCCAGCCAGTTCTGGGGAAGCATCCCCCACCTACCATTGTACTTTAGCTTAGAGATGTTTTGGTCTCTGAGAATTCTCTCTTTGATTGCATAGAAGTAGGGTTGGGGCGGAAACCCAAGGGTCTAGGACCCTTGAGTGATCAGTGAGAGCTCCTTGAAATTCTTAGAAGCCCTGAGAGCTATCAAGCACCCAGGAGAATATTTGGGTCACGGTTTGGGGACTCCATGAAGTTGGGTTTCTTTCTTTCTCTGGGTGGACATCCCCCATCTGTAAAATGGGATTTGAACTGAGTGGCCTCAAGAGCTCTTTCCAGCTCAGGTATTCTATTAATAATTAAGTACCTATGCTTTGAAAAAGGCTGTGGAAATCATAAAGACATCTAAGGCATTCTCTCCCTTGAAGAAAGTTATGGTTGATGAGGGAATGAATAGATCCCACCAAATTCTGAGTTGTTCCACCCACAAACACCCAAGGCAGGAACTCTGCTCTGCTAGTTTTTAGAAAAATTCCTGTCTGGTGGTTAGTAGTCAGGAAACATTTGTATGAATGAATAAATAACATTCAGGCATGTAACTTCATTTTAAAAGGTGCATGGAGGTAATTTATTACTGATATGAATGCCTCTTGGTGATGCCGTGAGGCAGATATTATCTCCATTTTTACGGGGAAACTGATGCTCAAAGGAATGTAGTGGCTTGCCAAGGTCAGAAGAAGGTCTGTCTGATAACACAAGGTGTCTGTTTTGAGTACCCTCAGAGAACATTCCAGATCAGGAAATTGGCTGGGTTAGAGGTAAATACCTTGGGGTTTACTTCTGAATTGCTAGGTGACCTTGAGCAATAGGCTTATCTCTGGATCTCAGTGTCCCCAACTCTAGAATGAGTCCTTCCAGGGTCCTTCCTGTTCCAGTAGCCCCCTGATAGGAGCCGGAGAGCTTCTTGGCCTTCTTGGTCAAGAGCCTGAACGAGAGAAGCTAGGGTTAGGGGGACGTTCAGCTCCTGCCGTCCAGGCTTTTCCAAGGACCTGGATGGAATTCTGAGCAGCCTGGATGAGGAGCAAGGAGAGCCGGGCAGGGCTCCCCACCCCAGCCCCAGCTCCCTCCTGGGAGGAATTGACTCCTAACTGTCCTCAGCCTCCTGGACTGCTGAGTGTGATCTACAAATGACCATTTAAAATCGGGAGAAGGGGCTGGACAGGGCTCTGTGAGTCACTGGAAGAGAGAGCTAGCTGGCCTGCCTGAGTCACCCATTTCCTTTCTACCTCTTGGCTATGGAATGGCTCTGAGTGGGAGTGTTGGAATGGGCTCCTGAGTTATCTACCTTGTTCTTTGAGAGACCGTTAAAGAAGGTTAGCATCTCGGGGTCCAGGGCCTTGAGGGGACATACGAGAAATACTAGCGCCAGGTCCAGACCTTCACAGTGCCTTGCCCGGGCGTGGACTTTGAAAGGGTAGAGTTCAGCCAGTCCTCAAAATTGGCCTTTTGGCCTCTGCTGAGCAGGTAATGCTTTTTGCTTTTTTTTTTTTTTCCTTAAAGCAAAACTAAGGCTGCAATGCAACTGGTCTGAGTTCGTAGAGCGAAGCAGGTGTAGTCCACATTGGATGTGACCTCCGCGGTCTCTGGTCTTTCAGACACCCGCTACTTGCTTCCTGGGACTGGCTAGAGGCATTGAAACACTGGTGTGGAGTTATACAGACCTTGCTCCAGAGGTGTGAAGTTTACCTCTTACTCGCTACTTGGCCTCCAAAGAGCCACACGATCTCTCAGCTTCCTGGGCTGTAAGGTCTGGAGGTGAAGTAAGACTTCAAGTAAAGCTCCCAGTTTTGTGCCTAGTAGGGAGGAGGCAGTCTTAGCGACAGTGCCCTTCTCTGCCCAGGCCATTTGGATGCTCCCTGGTACCTTTGAGGGACCCACTCCCAATGCCCCTGGAACGCTTTCTCCCCTTCTCCCCTCCCCCAGTTCTAACCCACAGCTGCGAGGTGGGGAGGGAGGAGTCTAGGGTGGGGCTGATAGAGCCCAAATCTGCTATTTGTTTGTCTTAGAAGAGGGCTGTTTGCTAATTATCAGATGGGTTTATATTTAATCAAGAACCAGTTCCAGGCAGCCGCACCCCTCCTGCCGGGACCTGTAGGAACCCCTTGCCGAGCAGTTTGCAGCCTTGTTGGGAGAGGGGGCAGGAGGTCTGCAAAGGGCACAACAAGACTCAGGGTCACACACATCCCACCCAGGCGGAGGGGCGGTGTTTATGGCCCTAGGGAAGCTGAGTGAATTGCGAACAGCCCTCTGGGCTTCGAGGGGGGTTGGCAATGGACAGAAAAGGGACAGTGTTCTGGAAAGCCAGTTTTCCTTG